GTGAGTAGTGCTAGAGCGCTGTACATACATGGTGATATATCCAAATGTTTTGAAACTACAATCCATTAGTTCAATGTCCGTAGGTGTTGTCTCAGCGGAACCTACATCATAAGAGCTAACGGCCGGCCTGGCTGAATATATCCGAAAATAAACTCTGTGAGTACATTCAAGCCAATGCGATTATTTGTGACAGCCTCAATAATACCAATTGGCAATGAAAAGCCAAACGATATTGCCACGGCAAGGAGAAATCCCCACCATGTGAGTTTGGTAGGGTATGCTAATACAGTAAACAGGCCCATTGCAAGCATCTATACGCAACGCCTGAATTAGACAGAGAGCGCCCTAGGCTCACAGGGGCTGGCTTACCACAAGAAATAGGCCCATGTACCACCAGTCTGGCGCCTCTTTATATTTCTTCATGAGCTTCAGGTGAATATCTGGTTTCTCATTTGCACTGTTTTGATACTGTTTCCAAATTTGCTTGCCGTTGTGGAGATATGTATATACGATAAGGGATGAAATAGCCGCAAAAGAGAGACCATATGACACGGCAAATGTCGTGCTAAGCATGTAAGTCGACGTGTGAAAGATTCATTAGCGCGAACATACCTAAGGAACAGCGGTGAGTAGCTTTCGTAAGCTTCTTGATCTAGAGTAAAGTCTTCGCTAAGGACACGTGATGTATTATATGTAGCGCCGGTATTGTCATATGTATTTGCGTCGCTCATGGGTAGAAATTCCGCATACCAGGCCCCAGAAAAGTGAAGAACAGAACATCCAATCACGTAGAATGCAACAACTCCAATCAAAGTATTGGCTATGGCATACCTGAAACAGTCAGCATGTTTTGTGATGGGAAAGGGTTTCCTTTAAGCTCACCAAGGCGGAATCAGCGGCGATCCTACCCAGCCCGAAATTTGAGTCCAGTCAAAAGTAATGGGGAGTAAGGATAAGCCGGTTGTGCCACCAAACAACTGGTTGACAACAGGATTCTGGGGCGCGATCCAAGTGGCAAAAGCGAAAACGCTCAAGCATTGGGCTAAAAATCCAGGGATAAAGTAGTACACGAATGCACCCACGGTGACGAGGAAAAACCACAGAAGTCTCGGCATGTTGCCGCCAAAGACTGCCGGGTCTCGGACATCATTCTTCTCATACATGGTATTCATCATGGTTACAGCCACGAGATTAGATGGCCATATCATGGAAGCAGGGTAGACTGCAACAGTCAGCGATTGTAGGGATTGGGGTGAGGATGGCCGATGGCCAACTGACCCAAAAACTTGCGCATTGTCCCTGCAATACCATATCCAAGCGACTGAGTCGAGATGGTGAGTAGAAGCTGGAACAAAACTCCAAAATTCTGTTTGTAGAAGATGCGCTGAGCAAGTATGATGTCGGTTGAATATGCCACCGAGAAGGACACGCTGGCCATGACTCCAATGATGGAGTGCTCTTTGATATTGAATGGGCCAGGGTTAAGAGTCCAGGTGAAGCCCCAGGTGGTGAAGTTTCTCTTTGGCATGAAGCGAGCCCATGCATGGCCCACGGGCCACGCAATTATTTGTGCAACGAGTGGCCCAATGGAGATTGATGGCTGTCGCAAGGAGAAGAGCGTGTTCATTGAGGCGCCCACGACAACCAGACTCAAGCCAAGGACCCAGGCTCTCACAGTGTTGCAGGGGACGTCCTCATCGTAGTTGCGAACAGCTGCTCGAACCTCGGGGTACGGAGAATCCTCCTCCTCACGTCTCTTCCGGACACTTCTGGTTCCCATCTCAATGGCGTCGGCATGTTCATCATCTGGCAAGTTTGGGTCCATGAGGAGCTCATGCTCAGACACATCGTCGTCATCGCTGCCATGGCCCTCGCCCCATTGAAACATGTGCTCCTTGAGTCCCTCGATGGACGCAGAGCGCCGATGGGAGAATGAATACCTTGAGCTCGGGCCGGCGGAGGCGTCAAATCCTGTTGACTCGGCGCTTATCCGCCGTTGGCCAAGTTCGGCACTCATGGCGAGGGAGAGTACCTTGGATGGCCGCGCGATTCCAAGTTGTGATGAGGTCTGATTTGCTTTCAATCAGCTCGACATGGCGGCCAAGTGTGAAAGCCGAATGTTTATGTACTCTGGTGGGAGGGGAGATTAGCTGTGCAACAAAGAGATGATTCTAAATAGGGGCCACATCCGAATAAAGGCCAGCTACATGTGATCAAGTAACAAGCAGGGGCAGCGAATTCAGCTCAATTTGAGGATTTCTATTGGCGTTTTTGGTCCGTGACTATGTGAGACATGGGAAGCGGTCCTTTGTCGTTTGCCCTTGGCCGCTGATGATGGGGACCAAATGCGATACAGGTCCAGATGTCGAGATGGAAGTCGGGGGATTCAATCTGCCGGTGACAATTTTCTCCCAACGTTTTGCATCTAACGGAGAAGAAGCGGGTGGAAGTTGATGCCGACGATGAGGCCGGTGAGTCGACTGATGCAGACACGAACAAAAGATATTGGCAATAGTGTTTCGCAATTGAGCCGTGTCCTCAATAAGCCACGAAGCCAGCCGCAAGCGCCCCCATCGACCCAGCGTTGGTGATGGCAGTGGAGCTGACTAACAGGGCTGTATCAGGACAACTGGGCACAGGGAAAGAGCAACGGAGGAGCCTACTTGATTTAAGCACAATGAAATACCTAGGTACTTGGCAGACATCAATTGATTTCAACTACAATACTCGGTGCCCTGGCAGCTCAAAACGCCAACCAGACCGTTCATGTCAATCCTCCTCACGCGGGTGCTCAAGCGCTGGCACAGACCACCAGACATCAAATGCGCGCGGCCTGCCCTGGTGAATGTCAGGGTTACCTGGCGTCTGGTCCACCTCCACCCCTCACTGTAGTCCACGCTGTGCCGCCCGTCCCGCCACTGAAGACGCTGTAGGCGAGCGCTAGCCTACCGTCTCCATTGATCAATCATCACTGCATGTGGTTCAAATGCCACTTGCGGGCGCGTGTTTGATATGCCTGGTGTCATGGGAAAACTTCAAATGTTGCTTCGCATTTAAAACCCGTCCACCAAGGAAGCAATTACCAGACCAAAACTATAGTCAACCTTTGAGCACATTGGAAACCCCTGATTTGCATCAGGGCGCTTCAGAACCCGGCGCTGACCACAAACGGAGCTCACTCGAAACAATTCTTAATTCTTAGCTTCTTCCTACTTCGTCCGACATGACATCGCCATCGTCATGCGCCGCGTGGTAGTTACAGGTCTGGGCGCTGTCACTCCCCTCGGCGTGGGCATCCGGCAAATCTGGAACCGATTACTCGCCGGTGAATCAGGAATCGTCAGTGTTGCGTCGCGACAGCCACAGGCAAGATGGAAGGAGTTGACAAGCACCATTGCTGGTGTCGTTCCTGTCGGAAGTGAGCCGGGTCAATGGAGGGCCAGCGACTGGCTCAGCGCCTCTGAGCAGAGACGAATGTCTACTTTCACGCAATACGCGATTGCTGCAAGCGACATGGCTCTAAAAGACGCCGGATGGGACGTGACGACGCTGGAGGACATGGAGGCTACCGGCGTGTGCTTGGGCAGTGGTATCGGCAACTTGGACGAAATATACGAGACCAGTTTGGCACACCATACTGATGTGAGCTGCCATAAAACGCTTGCAAAAATACAAACACTGACTCTTCATACAACAGGGATACAAGAAAGTCTCACCTTTGTTCGTCCCCAAGATACTAATCAACCTGGCAGCAGGTCACATCGCCATGAAATACGGCTTCCAGGGGCCGAACCACGCTGCCACTACAGCCTGCACCACCGGCGCACATTCCATTGGCGATGCCTCCAGATTTATTGCCATGGGCGACGCAGATGTCATGGTGGCCGGCGGCTCCGAGTCTTGTATTCACCCACTCACATTCGCTGGCTTCGGCAGAGCGAGGTCTTTGTCCACGGCCTACAATAACAATCCATCCGGCAGTTGCCGACCGTTTGACGCGGACCGCAATGGATTTGTTGTTGCCGAGGGAGCTGCTGTCTGTGTGCTAGAGGAGCTGGAACATGCTAAAGCCAGAGGAGCTCGGATATACGCTGAAGTCAAGGGGTATGGCTGTAGCGGGGATGCGTATCATATGACGGCGCCCCGAGAAGACGGGCGAGGAGCGTTTCTGGCCATGAAGCGGGCTCTGAAGAATGCCGGAGTGAAGCCTTTACAAGTTGACTACATAAATGCCCACGCAACGGGCACGCAAGTTGGAGACGTGGCAGAGGCGGCCGCCATCCGAAGGCTGATGCTTGGCCAGGAGGGGGTATCAGCTGAATCCCAGGTCACGGTGAGCAGCACCAAGGGAGCAATGGGGCACTTGCTGGGGGCTGCGGGAGCTATCGAGGCTCTATTTGCCATTCTCTCAATATACGAGGTTGGTCCTGTTTGCCTATGACGAGACGCTGATGGACAAGGGCTAACGGCTTTGCAGGGTGTTGTACCAGCTACACAAAACTTACACAAGCCCGACGTCGGTATCAACTTTAATTTCGTTCCACTAACGGCTCAAGAGAAGAGGGTTCGGGTAGCAATTTCCAACAGTTTTGGCTTTGGCGGAACGAACAGCAGCCTGGTGTTTTCGAAGATGTAGAACACTGCAGGAATTCTGCACGACTATGTAAAAAACACACTGTAATTTTACATGTAGCAATATCCATTTAATAACACCAATAAGAGCACACAAGCACGACTTTTGCTTACCAAGATATATTTCCCTCGATGACGATTCGCATGCCATGGATTCGTGTCCCCGTCATAGACATTGAACGCGGCCGACGCACGGACCACCCGAGCCACTCGCATGCCAAATAATTTCTCTGACATCCAAAAAAGTCATCGACCTCAGAAGAGCTCCAGCTTCGTTTTCACGACTTCCGCAGTCACAAGCAACCCCCCGCCCAAACCACCTTGACCAGCCAGCGTCCTCCTGGCCCAAAGAAGGCGTGGAGATCATAATGGCCTGCGAATCGTGCAGGCTACAAACGCGGACGCTCCTCCGGGCAGCAATTCGCGCGTCCGCCGTCAGAGCCGCCCCGGCAAGGACCCTGAACCTGTCGCGACCGACAAGCTCATCACATCCTGCACCCACACGATGGTTCAGCAACACGCCCCAGAGAAGGATACTGGGCATGGGAACACTAGGCGAGTCGTATCGCGTTCTCGGTGCCTCTGAAAAGCTGTACAAGATTTGCGCGCAGCCCGCAGACTACCACATTTCCGAGGAGGCACGCAACAACGACCAGGTCGAGAGGTTAGAAGACGGCGAGGAGTTGGGCACGCCCATCGATGCAGGGAACGTGTGGCACAAGAGTACGTTGTTGATAAATATACGTTCCTTGCCTAGAAAAAGGAAAACCAAAAAGTACACAAACTAACTTCCCTGGGGGGGAACCAACAGCTTTCGGCCTCCAACCCAGCTTCAGCACCTGGTCCCACGTTACCATGCTCCATCTTTACCTCCTCCAAGCCCGCGTCCGCTGCTTCGAGCGCGACACCTTCCGCAACTGGCAGCAGCAGCTCGTCGACCATTTCTTCTTTGACTGCGAAAAAAAGATGCACCTCGACCACAACATCACCTCGAGCGCTCTGCGCCAACGGTACCTGAAGGATATTTTCGTCCAGTGGCGCGGCCTGCTGCTTGCGTACGACGAAGGTCTCATCAAGGGCGATGCTATCCTCGCGAGTGCCGTTTGGAGAAACTTGTTCAAGGGGGCGCCCGAGGTTGATCCGAGGTCGCTGTGCGCGATTGTCGGGTGGATGAGGTCAAGTTTGGCGTCGCTGGAGGCGGCGAGTGACGTGGATTTTCCGCAGAAGGCGGGCGATATTTTGGCAAGGCCGGTGGACGTGTTTTGGAGCCGGTTGGAGGAGCCGTTTAAGAAGGCGTTTGAAGGGGAAGCCAGGAAGAAGAATGGGGAGTGAGGCATAATCTAATGGGTGAAAATTTGATGTGCAGAAAGGAGGGAGTTTCGGCATGGCGGCGGCATGTATAATTACGTGTGGACAAAAGAAGGGGAGGCTACAGACGACGCTGTCGTTGTATATCTGGCCAGATGATATTCCAAACTTCTGCCGCTGTATTAAACAAAAATAGCAACAATTGTACATTATGGCACAATGTCCGAGTTCCCGCTGCAGGCTCTCGTCATGCTCTAGCATTCCATGACTTCCAATCCCGCGATATGCCCAAACGCGACGCCAAATCAGCCCACTGGCATCATCCACCACAAATGTCCATCATTCCCTCTCCCACATCTGCCACTCGTACCCAACACCGCCCTCCTCCATCTTCGCATCTCCAATTTCTCCCGTCCACTCCCTCCACTCGTCACTTTGCCTCCTCCGCCATCCCAGACTCCTCGCGGCATCACCTCGCAAATCCAAGCCGAAAAAGGTATCGCACTCATACTCCCTCTCTATGCTCGTCAGCAACACCCTCTTCGCGGCATCCATCCTGAGCGCCGCATCATATATCTGTCCTCCCCCCATGACAAACACCCTACTGATAGTGGGGTGCGTCCTCGCAAACTCGACAGCCTGCTCGAGCGAGGACACCCTCACAGGTTCAGAGGGCGCAATCTCAGCAGGAAGCGTCGCCGAGTGCTGCCGGGACACGATGATGTTGAGGCGGTTCTTCAGGGGTCTAAACTTGGCCGGGATAGAGTCCCACGTCTTGCGGCCCATTATCACGGCATTGACAGAGTTGGGCGGCGCCTTGATCACGTCGGGCGGGTTACCACGTGCATGCCCTTGTTCGTCACGGGGACGGGGAGATTTACCTGTGGGGAGACCCGCGTCGTGACGCGCGCGAAATACTGCATCTCCTTGCGCAGACCTGTCCACGGCATGGTGCCGTTCAGGCCGATGCCCATGCTGCGCGTGGCAGCGACGATGAGCGTCAACTCGGGCTGCATCGTGAGGTTGGTCATGTCGTGAGGCGGAAGTGCGAGATGCGTGGGGTTTGTTGGCGTTGAGTGTTGGTGCGGGACGAAGTGGGTATCAAGAGAACATCTACATCACTACTACTACTTCAAGATGGCAAGAGATAGGGAAAAAAGATACGCGAAATAAAATATAATTACGTAGTGGGCCGTTATTTGTTGATATATATAGACTTTGTATATTTTTACAACTTGGCTGCCGAGGATGGTGGCAGAATCGCAACATCCTGGAACGGGATGCCAAGATGCATATAAATATGATTAAATCTAACAACAAGAAAAGAAAAAAAGAGTCAGCAACACGCCTTTGAATTCTCCGACTTTCAGACAAAATCCACGTACCGGTCACTCCCAAAGAAGGGCTGAGTTTCGCCCCTGGAGTTTGTCACCAAGAACCACGGGCAGCCGAAAGCGCCCGACTCGACAACCTTGCCCGTGTCCTCGATCAACTTCTTCTTCATCTCGGCCCTGCCATCCATGATCCGGCCAACTTCTTCCTCGGTGAACAGCTTGGCTCCGCCGCCAGGCGTCTCGGTAGCTTGGGCAAGCAGGGCGCGCAGGCTGGATTCGTCGACGACATCGGCGTTGGGGGGCGTCCAGAACTTGTGCAACAGGAAGTGCATCGCCGACAGGAGCTTCTCCTTTGGGTAGTTGGCCTTGATGAAGAGCAGGGCCCGCAGGGCCGACTGCGTCTTTGCTCGCTCAAACAGGTCATCGGGCGCCTGGTACTCGGTGATGCCGACGCGGGCGGCGGCGCGCTTGTTGTCGTAGATGAGATACCTGGCCTTGGCAGGCAAGGTCCATGGTGGCCGATTGCCTTTTGACGGGTTTAGACTACCGAGTTGATTGTGTTGCGTATGCTCCAACTATGCTTACCGGACAGGTGGTTGATGCCTCCTAGAAAGATGGGATGGAACCTAGTGATAGTAATAATACATGTCAGGCTCCAGGCCGGATAGTCAGTTTCCCATGCGTGTTGGCCGGACTCACTCTACGTCAACTCCGTGGGCGGCTAGCTTGTCCAAATTGAGTTGCAAGTCTGCAATACAAATATAGCTGAAGAAGGACGCTGTGGTTTTAAAACGTCAGGCAAGTTTTCTTGGTCAGTGAATCATTGACTAGAGCATGGGCATATGGGGGCTTACCAAGGTCCAGATAGCAATCGATGCGTCCACCAGCCATTTTTGTTCGTACAAACGCACAATTAGGTCAGCGCTTGAGCCAAGAGTATGGAGAGGTGAGATATTCTGGTTCGGTGCCAATGGCGCGATCGGATATTGCCCAGGTAGTTAAGGGTGTCGGGACAGCATGGTTTCTGTAGCTCTCGAGTCTCGACTCAGATCTGGGGTTGGGAAGCTAGTGGCCGATCGTGTAGACTTTGGGAGCGTGGGGAGCCGAGGCTCATTGCGGATGAGCGATGGAGCACGGAGTAGCGAGTCGGAGAGTTTAGTAATCCAGTCAACCTTGTCGGCAACACACACAAACGCTTTTCTGCACATTGAACAACCATCTGTCCTAGCCTACCTCGCTGTTTATTCTGCTTCCTCCCGTTTCCATTTCCTCAATACAGCCACAATCTCAATTTGTATTTGTTTGATACAATACACGACAAAGGCATCGTGTTTCCTGAGCAAGCGTAGCATCAGCACTCTTTCGTCCGTCCCATTATTTACTTTTTTTTTTGGGATGGCCATGGGACTGACGTCATTTCCTCATCAACATTAAACCAAAGCCATTGGAGAGTACAATTACTACACAAAGCATGTGATTGATACGACGCCAAATCAGTGTTTCATCTCCACGAGAACACTAGCACAGAAGTGAAGAAAGATTTTAATGATCCGACCTTGTTGATTAGGACGAAGTGATCCTCTAAGGCAATTCGGCAACTCTATCTCTGTAGGTCTTCTCTGCCCTCACCCAGACACCTTCAGTGTCCCGGCGGTTCAGAGTCAGCAAGCTCGGCAGAAGCAATGAGGAGTACTCATCACTAGCTTCGCGAGCAATCAATGTGGGAAGATGGTCAATAGCAATAATGCGTAGCTCGGGCCCGTCCAGCTTGCCCTCAGCAGGGGTGGTGGGGTTTTCAAACGAGGTGTGACGAGAATACACGCGTACGGGATTGTTGTCGCTGTTTGGGTCGCATGACACGTCCGAGATGACGCGAAGACGTCTCTCGGGCCCTGACAGCGATTCAATGGTGACAAATGGGGGAGCAGGGGCAGCGCCGAGGTAGACGGCATTGACGAAGATATCCGACGTCGCAATCTCGGGGAACGGCCCTCCACGGCTCGTTTCCGGCAGATCCCACTTCAAGATCGAAGCTTCAGGGATGCCTACAGCCTTCAGACAATCGAGCGCTCCTGTGCCGCATCGGCCTAGCGCGCCAATGACAATGACGCGAGGATACTCTCCATTGTTTGCTGGGAGGGCCTCTTGGACCTTCGATCGAACAAGAGCGACCAGCTCGGCGGCAGAATCCAATACTGGCGCAGGGCCCATAGGCGTTCCTGGATGAAGGATCTGGTGTGACCAAGACAAGAGGGCCAAAGCTGTACCAGCGAATCCAGCCGTCCGCCCAAACGCTGCCACCCTCCTGCCGCCCTCCTCAAGAAACTCTAGATCATAGAGCAAACCGCCTGCCTTTGAGAAACGTGACAGCTCTGTAGCATATCCAAACTGTTTTTTGAAAACATGTGCGAAGTGGATATAAGTGTGTGGCAATGGACCTGAAAATGAAGAGAGAAAAGGGGGGAGGAATCAGCAATTGGCCTTCTGGGAAGTAGAATTGATCGAACGAAACATACTGCCATCTGCTTCCAGCTCCTTCAAGCCCAGGATAATGTGATCTGTTGGGGCATTGACCCATGAGCCAGTTGGGACGATCTCAACGCCGGCGGCCTTGAACTCGTCCGTCTTGTAGATACGGTTTGGGCATTCTTCCACTCGCACAACATAGCCAGCATCGAGAAGGGCCTTGGCTCCCTCAGGTGATACTGCAACCAATTAGCAAATTTTTTTTCTTCCAAAAGCCAAAACAAAGGGGGAAGAGAAAGAAATTCGAGGTAGAGGCAGGGCTTACATGGAGAACGACGCTCCAGCGGCTTGGTCTCAGCCCTCAGATGAATAATCGTGGGAGACATCTTGATGTCGTACAGTCCTTTCTAGCAATCGTCCCCGAGTCGGCAGTTTAATATGGAGGGGCAGTTATTGAGTGGAGGGGTTGGAACTTGGGAATAGAAGCACTACTACGGAGTACTAGTACATGTACTACACCCCTGCGCACGCCGAAAAAGGTCCGCCAACGCTCAGTGACTCAGACGGGATATCACGTGTTGCGCTGCCATTGGCTTTGCTGGCGGGCGATGTCGCTCGCGCTAACTCGAAAGAGGCATTCAATTGATGCGGCGGGGAGGAAGTTTCAGGAAATTGGAGCGGCAACAAGACAAAAGGTCATTTAGGAATTTCAACGGACGATAGAGGTGCAACTTGTGGAGGTTAACACATGTTGGATTGGCAAGTGTGCAAAACAGAGGGATTGGAATCTCTCGTAAGGCTACGATTCTGGCGGACACAACTTTATCTCTACGCGCCAAGGGGCTTTACCGATGGACCTCGACGTGCTGAGTACCGAGCACTACCTGGAATCAGCACTCGCTTGCACAAGAAGCCTCAAATTACTACAGTCTGTGGCAGAAATATTTACCCACGGAAAAGCACACACTACTGTATTATAATATGAAGCGCGATAGCCAGGTACCTGATTTGACCAAATGGTTCCTTTTTGCCTCCCACGGCCAGTGCCCAAGTACCTTGGTACCTAGTTGGTTTCGCAGTGGGAGGCAAGAGCAGAGGAGGACAATGGGCACAGACATCTTGCCAGAGACATTGCACCGACGTATCGTCTTAGCCTTCAGCAAGACGGCCGCTCGTGTTGTTCGACTCTGGATTCAATTCTGCATCATACTTCTCCCTTAATAT